GTACAGCGGCACTTCTTTTTCCATGGTTTTGGCTCTTGAATTGATACAATTAACTTCGAGGGGATGGGTTGAAAGCAAAGGCAAAAGAAAAGATGTGGAGGTTTTCATATACTTTTTAAGTTTGCAAAATTTTTCTTTTAGGAATCCTATAATGGGATGCCCTATAATGCGTCTATTCCGTTTCCTATTAGGACTCCAAGTATAGCATTGCAAGAAAACTCAAGTGTTTCAAACACTTCAGCCACCTAAACTTTAGCATGTTTATCACTTTAGTGCCTACTTATAGTTTTTTATCATTTATTTATTTATCTTTGGGTTCAGTGGAAAGCCTCAATTGTACAAGGAGAAGGGAAAATAGGAGGTTTCATAGTGGAACTTTTTATGACTTAACCTCCTCGACAAAAGGTCTTTTTTTTTTTTTTCCGAAACGATATTTGATTATATTACTATCAAAAGATAGTAGGTCTAAGTTGACAGGATATGTAATTTTTGAGTAGAAAATCAAATATGTTATTTGACTATCAAAAGGGTTTTTTACACTTTATACCCTTGACTTTTAGTATTTCTATCACTTTAGTCTCTTAAAATATTTTTATCAGTTAAATTTGAGAAAGTTGAAAAAATATTAGATCAAAATAGAAAATTTCATGAGAAGAACATAGAACAAAAATACTCTATTCAATATCTCTAATCTATCTGATTCTAGGGTTTTTAATTTTAATGATGGTAATTTATGTCACTTCAAAATTCATTTGTTGAGTCCTTGAGTTGCAAAATGACTAGGGGTGGCAATCAATCTAGCATTTCAAATCCCACTTGTAGTTAAAAAAAATTCAAAGGAGTGCTCTAGCACTCCTTTGATGTAGTTAGGTTTGTACACCTGCTAATCCTTTACACAACCTTTTTAGATTCCCCCTCCCTATAGAATATGATAGATTAGGTTATAAGAATATAATCATTATAACAAAAAAAAAAAGTGGCTAATCAAATACTTATTTGAGCTCGAGTTTGACTGAGTTGAAATTGAGCTTGAGCAACTCTAACCCCTTTTTTGGTCAGGGTCAAACCTTAAGGCATGCAGTTTAAAAGCTTTATCAAGCTTTTCTTTTATCTATAATAATAATAATAAATAATAATGAAATTGACGAAGTCTCCATTAGTAGTAAGGCCAATTATTATCGAGGAATTCTCAATTTGAGCTCACTTTGTTTTCTCAAGCAAGCTCTTGCACGAGCTCAACCTCCTTATATTTTATTCAAGTCGAGCTCAAGTGCCTAAATATAGCATTCGTCTAACTTGAGTATATGAGTATTAAGAATCTACTCAACTCATTGCCACCTCTAAAATAAATATCCACCCAAGTGAGTGACACAAATTGACATGGGTTTATTCATTTTTAGCTATAGGTGGAAAATAACTAGATCTGGAATCTCACAAGTTGAGCTATTATCCAGTTTAATCAGATTGTATAATTTTTATAATATTTGTGTAAACCGAAACAACTTTGATGTAAAACTTAAGTTTGTAACTTATACAACTAAATTTATGCAAAAACATGATTACACCAAAATTGTACGAGTTTTTACCCAATGTAACAATTAATTTGGACTAGAACTTGTAAGGCCTCAAATCTGGAAATAACCATATGAAAACAAGTATTCTAGGACTCAAAAGTGGTAGAGTTTTCCACTGTACATTAATGAGCACGGCCGGCGAGTTCATTGGTATATTATAGAAGTGGCAAAATGGATTCATATCCACCAATCCATCCATATAAACTAACCTTAAATGGATTTGGATGATCCATATAAATTCAATGGTTTTAAATGGATAACCATTTAAATCCAATTATGTTGGTGGATTTAAATGGATTATCCATCTTATCCATATACATCCATTTAACTTAAAAAATAGAAAACACATTTATAAAAATGTGAGATAAAATCTCGTGGGACCATCTATTCTTTTCTTCATAACTTCTTCATATGTCAAATTAATTTTGTGGGACCACCTATTCTTTCCTTCATAACTTCCTCACATGCCAAGTTGTCAATAACATTAATTGCATTTTATTTGCTTCTAGCTCCTAGACTTCTTCCATCTTTTTCAAAATTATATTTTAGTCTCTACTCTTGTTTTTTTTTTTAATTAAACTCTCATGTAGTAATGATTGCAAACATTTATATTCTTAAGTAAAGAAAAAGCGAGAATGCATCATGCAGTGTCAAAATAATTTTTATTTTTTTAATTCTTTTATTTATAAAAAGAATTTTTCTAACAAGTGTCCCCGCAACATTGGTTAAGATATGTAAATGACACTTTTTTTTTTTCTAAATCCTCATACTTGCAATCCCTCTCCCCTTATCACCTAACCCAACTACCAAAAAAAAAAAAAAGACACCTAATTTACTAAGTAATATAAGGTAGCTTGTATATCAATGGTATAATAAGGAATTCATACATTTTTAGGTACTACGTGCATATGTGATGAAAATATTTTACTTGTCAAATAACATAAGATTTCTTATTAGAACTCCACTTTTATTCAAGACATCGCTCTTGAACAGGAGTGCAAAAGATTGGAAACGTAAACTTCTTTTCACTGTAAAACCGTATTCAATTCATTCAAAGTTATAAAAATGTAGCCAGGTTCTTAATTGTTTATTACTTTACAAAATGATACTTAAAGTAATGACGAAAGGTTAAATTGACCACAGCAGTTAAATTTTCTTGGAACTAAATTAATTTTATGAAGTATTGAAATGGAGTAGTAGTACAAGCATTTGTTATTACCAAAAGGTTGTAGGTGATTTAAGGATAGAACTTTGGGAATTTGTATTTTTTGGAAAAAAAATTTGGATCTTAAATTTAGGATTTGGGAGAGTAAATGGATAAATGGATGGATCATGGTTTACACTATCCATTTAAATGACATCCATTTAGATCCATTTATTAAATGGTTTTAATTGGATTGGATCAATTTGATCCACTATCCATTTAACTAAAACCATTTATCAACCATATATCCATTTTGCCACTTCTAGTATATTACCTTCTTCGTGGTGAGAAATAGATGGATGCAGGAGTATAGATTAGATGACGAGTTTTTTGCCAAAATAATTCTCTTTCTAAAAAATATTCCCAATGTGATTTATTTTCAAAATTTATTCCTATAATGATGTTATTATTGCTATGTAGTTATCCTGATTGTCAAGTAGCATAACAAGAAAGGAAAGCTTCAATCTAGTAGTAAATATATAAAATCTATAATTTCCAACATGAACTGAAAATTAAAAGTTTTTTTTTATTATAGAGGCACAAGAAGATTGCATAGCTTTGATAATTTCTTTATAATTATTTAAAATAAATTCCACCACTATCAACCTTGCTACATTTGGTCTTTGCATATTTTTTTTTGAGATGTATCAAACCTATTGTGCATATTTGTTTCAAAAAATAAATTTGGAAAATACAAAAATTGCATTGATAATTGTGTGTAATAGCAAGAAAAAGTTATAAAAAATTCAAGACTATTGTAATTGCTTCTGTTATCCTTCCAACTTCCTGAAAAGAACTCTTACAAAAAGTAATCAAGCTACAAAATTCAGCTAGACTGCCTGCATAAAATAAAAAATTCATTAATTAAGTAAATGTTGTCATATTATCTAATGCAAGAATTACCTGAATTTTTACAAAAAGTAGTAAAGCTACAAAATTCAGCTAGGCCGCTTGCACAAATTTTTTTTTAAAAAAAATCATTAATTAACTAAATATTGTCATACTATCTAATACAAGAACTACCAGCATTTGTCCGCAATTAGTAAGGCCATCTTTTACATGTTATTTATAGGGGATAATGGCCAATTTAGTCCATAAACTTTTTTTTTCCGTTGATTTAGTCCCTATATATTATTTATAGCCAATCTAATCCCTAAACTTATATTTCGGTTCCAATCAAGGAACTCAGCGGCGGTGCCACCGCATAATTTCTCTCAGGCTCCTAATCGAGCAATCCAAAAGGGGTATTTTAGGGATTTCGATGATGGGGCTCTAACAAAAATTAACCTGCAGATAAAAACACGTCACACGTATGGAAAAATTTTCCCTTTTCCCCCTCAAAATCTTCTTTGTAAAACCAAGTTTCCTGTTTATTTAACCAAAACGGGTGAAAACTATAGTCAAAATGAAACCAAATTTTTATAACCAAAGGAATTGATGTACCCTCTGCACCCATTATAACCCTGTCGAACGTCTTCATACCTGTACAATTATAGTCAAAATGAAACCAAATTTTTATAATTTCTGTGCAACCTATTTGATCAGTCATCATAAAGCAGAATTCCATCTTTCCTTTTTTTTTTTTGGGTCAAAGCAAAAAATCACCCCAGAATTATATTAAACTTAAACATATTCCTTGCTCATCAATCAGCACTACATTCAGAGTTCCAATTGACTTGGCACAATAACTACTGCCCCCTAAAGACCAGCACAAAGGAAGGGCTAAGTGGAGCACAACATCCTATAACCTAGAAGATTTTGCTTTCTGCTTCCTTACTCAATATGAGTATGAAACTGTCAGGCTGCAAAGTGTAGGGACTTAGGCATAATAAAGGCTCAGTCTGAGCATTAGATTGTTAATTCTATAGATTAGTTAAAACGATGCTGTTTTGGGCTTACTTAAGCATTAGCAAACGATGTCGTTTCATGTTATGAAGTTGTTAGTTGGTATTGTTAACCATCTGATACAAGTGGTTAGGATTTGTTATAAAAGTGGGGTCCACCTGAATGAGAAATAACAGAAAATATACGTTCATTGTTTCCATTCCCTTTCTCTGAATCTTCTCTTCCTTTCTCTCTCTATTCTCAGCTTCCTGTTCTTCCCCAATTCTTCTGAATTCTACCAATTCCATCAATTACAGTCCGCACAATTCCAGAAACAACCTTGAGTTCGTGACAAAGTGGCATCAGAGCAGTAGATCCTTGGAATTTACAACACAATCATGGCAGAAAGCACAAGATTCCGCACCATCGAAGAGCAAGTCAGGAAACAAGAAACCAAGCTACAAGAATTGATAGAATCCTTACACACTTCCAAATCTGAACACCAGCAAATCAAGAAAGACTTGAGGATGGAGCTGGACGAAAACAACAGGCGAATGGAAGGCCTGTTATCAGGAATGAAGCAGAACTTCACTCAGATGCTTGAGCAGAAATTCAATGATCTGCTAATTAAGCTGAATTCTGGCAAGGAACAAGCAACCGAGGGGAGTGGCAGAATGACCGACCAGCCGTCCATTTTACCAACTCCACCAGCTCATCAGAGGTTAACCATAGACTGCGAGGCTCAGAGATCCTTCAGGAAGGATTGGAGTAAGTTTCAAATTCCAAATCCTCCTAAGATTGATTTACAGATGTTTACTGGAGAAAATCCTAGGGAATGGTTACGTAAATGCAACAAATATTTTTTGAACTATCAAGTTCCAGGAGAACATAGAGTGGATGTAATTGAAATGTATTTGGAAGGCAGGGCTGATAAATGGTTCCAGGGAGTAAAAATTGAGAAACCTAGGCTGAGTTGGGAAGAATTTGGAAATCTGCTATGTTGCAGGTTTAATGATAGGACTTGTCGAGATGTAGTGGAAGAATTTAATAAGCTACAGCAAATAGGCAATGTTGAAGAATATCAGGAGAAATTTGAGGAGTTAAAAGCCTTAATGATGATAAGAAATCAAAATCTGGATGAGACCTATTTCATTTCTAGTTTCATAACTGGACTGAAGGAAGAGATCAAGCCTATGATCAAGATGTTGAAACCAGCTACCCTGGCTGAAGCATTTGAACTGTCTCAGTGGCAAGAGTATTCATTGAAACTACAGAATAAGAGTTTTAAAGAGAATGTCAAGCCACTGGGAGAAAACAGGCTTGGACTGTCAAGAAACACTAATACAGCATTGGGGGTTAATTCATATAGGATTCCACTCCACAGCAACCCCAAACACCCTAAATTGGCCAATTGGCAAGAAGGCACTAAGGATCCTAGGAGGCTTTCTGCGCAGGAAATGCAGTACAGGAGAAACAATGGACTGTGTTTCAAATGTGGAGAGAAATATGGAGTTGGCCATCAGTGCAAGGTTGGCCATACGAACTGTATGATGTTAGAAGAAGAAGATGAAACTGCATTTGAAGATGCTCTGGGCGAACAGGATGAACAAACTGGGAATCCTGGCCAAACCATGGAAATGTCCCTGCATGCATTATCTGAGGCCTTAAAAAGGAAGACAATCACACTCACAGGAGTCTTAGATGGAGAAGAGGTGCTCATCTTAGTAGATACTGGGAGTTCTGACAGCTATATCAGCAGTGAATTGGTTATTGGAATGGATGTCAAGTACCAGTGGGTGGATCAGCCTTTCTCTGTTATCATGGGAAATGGGACTTCTGTCACCAGCAATGCTATCTGTCCTGGGGTACAGTGGAACATTAACCAACACCAATTCAAATTCAACCTCAAGGTGATGGATCTAGGGGGGTGGGATATAATACTAGGCGTGGACTGGATGACACATTTTAGTCCCATCACATTTGATTTTCTGCAGCTCAGGATATCATTGCATCATGAAGGAGGGGAGATTCACCTGCACGGGCAAGCAGACAATTGTGACATGGACCTGATCAGAGGCAAGGACTTGAGGACATTCATTGAATACAAAAAGCAGATGTGCATGGCCATGACTTCTCAACAGCAGGAGGGAAGCAAACTGGAGTCCACTCCACAGGAGGTACAGGAATTACTGCAGGAGTATGAAGACATATTCCAGCTTCCCAGTTCATTACCCCCTAGCAGAAGTGTAGACCATGAAATACCCCTTAAACCAGACGCTCAACCCTTCAAACTCAAACCTTACAGGTATCCTCACTGCCACAAAGAGGAAATAGAGAGGCAAGTGACTGAAATGCTGCAGCAAGGCATTGTAAAACACAGTAACAGTCCCTTTGCCTCTCCTGTGTTACTGGTCAAAAAGAAAGAAGGAACTTGGAGGTTCTGTGTGGACTATAGGAAGCTTAATGAACTCACTATCAAGGACAGATTTCCAATACCCAATGTAGATGAACTACTGGATGAATTAGCAGGAGCTGTGTTCAAAGCTAAGTTAGATTTGACTGCAGGGTACCATCAGATCAAAGTCAAACCTCAAGACACCTACAAGACAGCTTTCCAGACACATTGTGGACATTTTGAGTTCCTGGTTATGCCATTTGGCCTCACAAATGCTCCTGCAACCTTCCAATCTTTGATGAACCAAGTATTCCAGCCCTATCTGAGAAAGTTTGTACTAGTCTTCTTTGATGACATACTAGTATATAGCCCCACACTTGAGGATCACCTTCAGCACTTGAGAATTGTTCTGAATCTACTGAAGGATAACCAACTATATGTGAAGAAATCCAAATGTGAATTTGCTCAGAAAAGAATAGATTATTTGGGACATACTATCACTGATGAGGGAGTTAAGATGGATGACTCTAAGGTCAGTAGCATCTTGCATTGGCCTGTACCACAAACGGTCAAGGAGTTGAGGGGATTCCTGGGTCTAACTGGCTACTACAGAAGGTTTGTTAAGCATTATGGAGTGGTGTGCAAACCTTTGACTGAACTACTCAAGAAAGACAGTTTCAAATGGAATTCACAGGCACAGGCAGCCTTTGAACACTTGAAAAGGCTGTTGTGTTCAGCTCCAGTCCTTAGTTTACCAGATTTTAAAAAGGCATTTGTGGTTGAAACAGACGCCAGTGGGGGAGGTATTGGGGCAGTCTTGATGCAGGAAGGGCACCCCATTGCTTTTCTGAGCAGAGCACTGTCAACCAAGAACCTGGGACTATCAGTCTATGAAAAGGAACTTCTTGCACTAGTAATGGCAGTCACGAAATGGAGGCACTATTTGGTTGGGAGTCACTTCATTATCAGGACAGATCATCAATCATTGAAGTATTTACTGGATCAAAAACTGAATACTGCTCTCCAGCATAAGTGGATGACAAAACTAATGGGCCTGGACTATGAGATACAATACAAAAAGGGGACTGAAAATCAGGTTGCAGATGCATTATCTAGAAGACATGAAGCTGTTGCAGACCCTTCCCTCCATTCATGCTTGGCTATTACTGCAGTAAAACCTGTCTGGATGGAAGAGTTGCAGAAAAGCTATGAAGGGGATGGTCACTGCCAGGACATTTTGGCTCAGCTAATACTGGATCCTAATGCTCACACTGAGTATACTATGGTGGATGGGATGCTGAGATATCAAGGGAAACTGTATGTGGGGAGTGCAAATAACATCAGAAACCAGATTATTCAAGTACTTCATGCTTCAGCAATAGGGGGACATTCTAGACAGAATAGCTGCTGGCAGAAGGTTAAATCATTGTTCTACTGGCCAGGGATGAAACAGGAGGTAATAACCTTCATACGGAACTGTGATACATGCCAAAGAAACAAAGCTGAGAATGTGCCTTACCCTGGTCTGTTGCATCCAATTCCAGTTCCCAACCAGGCATGGGCCCATATTGCCATGGATTTCATTGAGAAACTACCTAAGTCACAGGGTTATGATACCATATTAGTAGTGATTGATAGGGTATAATTTGTTAGTAAATTTATTATTGATTTCCCCTTCTATCCCTGACAAATATTGAGTTAATTGCTGATATTTACTCATATTTGGTATTTGGAATTAATTTCAGGAGTGAAGCAGAAAATTACCAAAAAGGAGGGACTTGTATGAAAAAATGCAGACTTCTAAGGGATTCAACCTTTAGGTCCTTGAATTGGTGGGGACCACAAGCTTAAGAAGCATGAGTCATTTGGACTCTAGGAAAAGAAACGTACGAGACTTTGAATTTGGTGTGGGGACCACTAGAGATAGCATTAAACTTCCTTTTGGCTTTAAAAAGGGAGAAACGTACGAGAGGTTTATGAATCAATAGTTTTAGTTTAGGCTTTTAGCATAGTTTTAGTTTTCTTTTCTGAGCTCTTTCGCATGGTTGTTCTCCATTAATGGAGGACTAACCTCTTAATTCTAGTCAAGGGGACAACTGAAGATTTGGTTCAACAATTACTGTGAGATCTAATTTATTTTAATTGCTTCCTTAATTTATTGGTATTTATATGTTTCCTGCTTTTAATTGCTATAGCTCGTGTGAGTGGTTGAATAGATGCGCAATATTTAATTATTCACATAGGCTATTTTGCTAAATAGGGATAATTGAATCCGTAATTGTTCGTTATCTTTATCTCAGTAGCAACTGGCGTAATTGGGTTTATGTCAGGGGAGCATACGATCTAACTTAAACAAACCCTCGTAGCGTGTTTGTTAGTTAGGATTGGGCCTTTCTAATTATTAATGCAATCTAGAAATTAAATCCTATGGTCGTACCTAGGGTTGTTTTTGGGTTAGAGAAATAGTTAACGGTCGTACCTTAACTATCGAGAAATTAAGGAAAGGTTGGTTGTTTATCGCGTGCATGACAACTATAACTGGTCTATTAATAAATGTGGAATTATGTGTGAATCAATGATCAGTGCCTGAACCATTTCTGAAGTGTACCCTTGCCTAGAGTTTTCTCTTAATTATTTCTTTGAATTAATTACTTTCTGCATTTAATTTATTTAATTGGCATTTAATCTCAAAACCCCCTATACTTTGAACTCTAGAAGAAACGAACTATCCCCAGTCTCTGTGGATTCGACCCTGCTCACCGCTATATACAAAATCTGTATTTTTCTTGAGTAGGTAATTATTATTGCACAGGTTCGGCACCTGTCAATTTTTGGCACCGTTGCCGGGGACTGGTGTCAGATTAATTTGTTTCTTTTTGAGTTCATCTTGTTTTTATTTTTTATTTTTTATTTATTTTTCTCTTATTTTTTTTTATTATAGTTTATGGCTTCTAACACTCCGTATTTTGGTGATAGACTGGATTTTGTTTCCGGGGAAGGCGATGAGACTAGTTTTTTTGCTAAGTTTGCATATTCAGAGGCAGTAAACTCTATTAGAGAAAGAATGGCTGCTGCAACCTGTAAAATTTGTTATGCCAGGGATCATTCGACCGGTATGTGCCCCGAATATCAAGATAATCTGAGTGTCCCACTCAATAATTATGGAGATTTTTTACCATGGTCTCAAACGTGGTATAACCCTAATCCAAACGGGTATGATCAAGGATGGTGGGATAACTCCAGTTATAATTATACAACAGGGCCACTAGATTTTCAACAGCTAGAGTCTCAAGAACCGTCATCCATGTCAGGTATGTCTCTTGAAGAAATGGTTGAATTAATAGCTACTAACATATATCAAATTCAACAGGAGGTACATCAACTTCAACAGGAGACACAAAAGATGAGTGAAGAGATGAAAGAAGCAAGGCTTGAATGGGCATTTAAAACGAGCAAATTGATTTCTCCAGTTTATGAAGAATTATCCTCACCGACTATTATCGACCATGAGGAAGATGAGAGTGTAATTATTCTGACAAATGACATGATACTGCAAGAGTCTCGAGAAGAAGAATCTAAAGATGTAGTTGAAAAGAAAGTTGAAGAGCAAGAATTGAGACCCCAACATCAAATGGTTCAAGTGAATGAATCCAGTGAACTATCTCCAAATGCGGTGACATCTCCTCCATTCCTTGATCAATATTTTCCTGACTCTTATTCTTTAATTCCTGTTAGTGAGATTGATTTTATTATACCAGACGATTTTGAATTTCATGCCAGGAATAAATTAAGAGTCATGTTGACAAAATATCTCGAACCAATAAGTGCTCTTGATGGAGGAGTGAGTGAAGATTTAAGATCATCACTTGTTTGTTTGGTGCCATTTACTAGTCCATGGAAGCCCGTAGCTCGTGTGCCCAAGAATTACTCTATTTACGAGGGCTATCAGGATTACATAGAAGATGAAACACTGAAACGAGCCACAAGATTTTATCCTCCATGAATACACATGAAAATGTCTAGCCAAAGACATTAAAGAAAGGCGCTACTTGGGAGGCAACCCAAGACTATTTGTTTCAGTTTTCATGCATTTTTGAAGTTTTAGTTAAGTGTTAGTGTCAATTAATAGTTTGATGTTTGGTGGCAGGAAATTAGTAGTTAGACGTGCCCACGCCAAGTGGTCACGCCTGAGGGAAAGAAATTTTCGTTCAGGATCTGCGGACTCTATAGCAGTTAGACGTGCCCACGCCAGGTGGTCACGCCTGAGGGAAAAAAATTTTCGTTCAGGATCTGCGGACTCTATAGCAGTTAGATGTGCCAACGCCTAGGACAGGAGTTCTTCGTTTACAAAAAAAAAGGAAAAAAAAAAAAAAAAAAAAAAAAAATTTAATTTAAAAAAAAAAAATTTTAAAAAGTTTAAAAAAAAAAAAATTTTTGTTTCACCGTAGCTTAGATTTTCAAAGTATAAAAAAAAAAAACAACAATTTCTCTTTCTTTCTTTCTTCTTCTTCTTTATTTTTTCTTTCTTCCTTCTCCCCTGCTCTCTCTCTGTTGTCCGAATCCCTTTTGCCACCGCCCACTCGCACCGCCCACCTCACTCACGCCGCCACCTCGCGTCTCGCGCAAAGGACCAGCCAGCCATCCACTTCGCACCTCGCCGACCCTCGATGCTTCCACTCCAGGCCGCTCGCCGCTGCTGAAGCTCCATCGCCATCGCCGCTGCCACCCGAAGCTCGCGACGCAGCAGCCCACGGCTGAGCCCACATCTCCCCTGTCCGCCGCAGCCCGCATCCACGAGGAGCAGCCGCCGCCAGCGCCGACGACCACCACCATCCACTTCGCCCCTCTCACCAGCTCCCTGACTGCCATCGCCGCTCGCCGCCATCTCCCTCGCGCGCAGCCTCCAGCACTCAGATGCCGCAAGTCCCCTCCGCTGCCAGCGCGCGACTTCCCTCTCTCTCTGCGCAGCCAGCGCGCGGAAGCTCCAGCACCAGCAGCCAGGCTGCACGTCGCCGTGCGCGCGGGCCGCCAGCCGCAGCAGCAGCCGGGCGCCCTTTTGCGTTTCAGCCACTCGCGTGAGGTCCACGCACGTCGCCTCTGCCCCTCCACTGTACCTGTTGTTGTGGCCGAAACACCTCCGGTGATCTCTTTCTTTAATTTACTGTCACTAATTAGCTGAGGCCAGATTATTAGTTCTAATTAGCTGAGGACAGATTTTTAAATTGTTAGCTGAGGCCAGACATTTTTGTGGTTGATTTGAGTGCTGTGATATCATCTGTGGTTGGTTGACGACTATTTGTCCAATTTTGGGGTGGAATCTGAAGTAATTTGGGGAAAATTTCATTGTTTCCATGTTTAATTAGTTTTTGAGTGAAGTTTTTATGTGTTTATCTACTTAATTGATTTTTGGGCTGTTTAGTTTCTATTTGTTCAATTGTTGGTGTTTGGAGCTGTGTTCGGAGACCCCTATTGCACCCTTAGTTGAGTAATTTTCTGGGTTGGTTTGTTGAATTAGTATTGCCATTGGTTGACTCTAAGTACCTTGTTTGGGGAGTATTCGGTTTTGTGATTTCAATTGCTAAGCTCATTGGAGCACTTGCCGAGATTTTGAGTTGCATGATTTCTGCATTGACTAACATTCGGACCACCACTGCTTATTGTTTGTAATAGCTGCTTTGTTGAGACTTTCGCCTAGTCCTTAGGTGCCTGAAGTTTCCATTTTCTTGATTGGGGTGGCCGTTTATGTTGCTTCATTATCTGTGGGATGCACCAGTGGTACTGGTTGGGGGTATTATAACTACATTTGTTGCCACTTGGTTCTAGTTGGTGGGCTACTTGATCGAAAACTGCCAAGCGTTTTGATTTAGTTGTAGTCCAAAATTTGAACTACTATTGCTGGTTTTGACGGTTTCTTGGCTCATTTGCTAATTTCGGTTGGTTGAGTTGTGTAATTTCTTATCCAATTGGAACCATTTGGACAGATTTTGGGTGGGCAATTTTTTGTCGCTCTCGGTTGATCTTTGGGAGGCATTTCTGACCGTATTCTACGTATTCAAATTGGTTGAATTCACTGCTTTGTCGAGGTTATTTTTGGTATCACTTGAGTTCTACTTTGCTGATTTCTGTCTTGCGTCCCTTGAAGTGCCTTTGGTTGGGTATTGCTGTTGGTGGCGTCTAATTGACTTGCTGGAGTATTTTACCTATTGATTTCAAATGCTAAATCTTTAGGGCATTTGTTGGGATTTTGGGTGGCTATGAGTCCATTTGCTGAAATTCGTTGCTTTGTTTAATCAGTCGCATTGCTCCTAGTTTGCTTGAGTGAAATTGGTTGGACGTCCTTTGCCTGTGGAGTTTAACTGTTACATTGTTTGGAGTGGTTTTCTGGTACTGATTGACTTGTTGGGTTTAAATTGCTCAGGGCTTTAAATTGCTAATTTGGTGAGCCATTTATTATGCACTACCCTTTTGAATTGGGAGATACCTGTGCTTATTGGGTTGATTGTTGACTTCATTAGAGGATATGGATTTCTACTGATCTGCATTTACTTGTTCCTCTATATGTTGGCAATTTTGTTTCTATTGATTGGGTTACTTGTTAGCGGCAATAGTGAGATCAAGGTTCTCTTCTAGGCCCCGCCAACCCAA